TGTTTTATGTATAAATTTTTTCTGTGACTATTGTCTCTTATAACATTAATATGTGTCATTATTTAATTAAAAAAAATAAAAAATATAGATAATAACATTTTAATTAGATAATAACATATATCATTAATAATATATATTATATTATCATCATAATTATCCAAAAAAAATATAGATATTATAACATTAACATGTGTCATTATTTAATTGAAAAAAGAAAAAGTGTTAATGGAAAAAACCAGTCCTCATCCAATAGCAGATGCACTTATAGTTGAAAGTGGGTATGTGCCCAACGTAAAATCTGTATTTTCTTAAGTTAGTCACATATTTTATAGATGATACTTACCTTAAAATTTTATTATGTTCATCATGAAATCTAAATTTTTTTCGATTAGTGATATATTTATTAATAGTTTCTATCCTAAAATTTTATTTATACTTCTCTCATTTAAATTATTTTATCATTACCATATACGTATCTACGCTCAAATATTTTTTCAGAACGGCCACGGCCTCAGCCCAAATTTTCATAAAATACAGACAGGAAAGAAAAAGAATAAAAAGGGCCGGAAAATGACAAGAAGAATCTAGCTGTTAAGCTCTGCAAAACCACCATTGGGCATTGGCTTGCATCACTTCACACATACAAAACAACTTTTAATTTTATAATATTAAGCAAACAACAAATACTATAATATCTTAATCAGATCTCTAAAACCACTCCATTATTTATTTTTGAAGTATTTGGTTTCAGTTGTCACCAACTTACCAATTTTTTTTTTTGAAGAGGAAATGCTGAAATGATTTATGAATTGACAAAAAACCAGAAAATAAAGAAACAAGAGAAGTTGCTTTCATGGTGTAACCACCGCTGCTGGTTTTTGGCAAGTCCAAAGCTCTGCTCTGCTTTCTTCTTTGGTCTCGCTCATTTCATTCCATGTGAACTTTTCTTTTTCTCTTTCAATACGCTTTGTCTTTTTGTTGTTGGCGTTTCCTCCTACAACTTACCGTCCGCAAGAGATTTTGTCTCTTTCCATTTTCTTTCCTTTTTGGCTCAATCATTTATGAGGGTCACTGCTGTAATCGATACTTGTTTGTGGATTTCCATTTCTGTTTTATCATATTGTAACTGTTCAATAACTGGCTTCCATTACGGTTTAAATGCAATTGCATCTGTTTATTTTGTTTGATCCAATCCATTTTCCTCCAGCTGTTGACATCCAAATCGTAGGCTGTTATTTCCTTGGAGAAGATGCTGTGTCCTTGCTCAGGTGAAAAGTTCGAGTTTGAAGACGCTCCACAGTCGCCGGAGTCCTTAGCAACCAGAGATTTCTCTGCCAGTGGACTTTCATCTTGGACCGGAGTCTGGGAATCGAAGCTTGATGCTGTTCGAGTGGATGAAGTTGAATCCACTCTCAAAGAAGCTCTCTCCTTAAATTATGAGTTGGGCAAGAGCTTTTATTTGCCATAAATCAATCTGTTCTTCCAACCCATCATTTGCAAGATAATTTGTTTTGTTTTTCGGACGGATTTGAAGGAAGCAAGGGCGCTGTTGGGGAGGCTAGAGTATCAAAGAGGGAATTTTGATGCAGCGCTTCAGGTTTTTCAGGGTATTGACATCAAAAGTTTGACACCAAGGATGACTATGACTATTGTTGAGAGAACCCGGCAACGCAAACCACGGTCCAAAGGTGACGTTATCCCTCCTACTGTGATGTCAATGCATTCAGTGAGCTTACTTCTGGAAGCCATTTTATTGAAAGCAAAATCGTAGGAGGAACTTGGGTATATTACAGGTATTTCTAGTTTCTCCCTACAAGGAACTTACATAATTGGTTTGCTTCACAATAGACTGCTTACTTCTTAGGAAGTACTGATCTTACAATCTTATGATTCCCTGAGCATGTCTGGATCAAGATGAGCGATGTTTTAGTGTAGTTTCTATTGTTCTTGGACAGTTCAAATTTGGTCGTTGAAGATCAAGGATTTTAAAAATGGCATTGCCCTTGTTGGTGGATGGCTTATATATATATCCATGGAATTGTTGTTAGAATGTAGGCTTTAAATGGTTTTGATGCTTGTGTTTTCTACATTTATCAGAGGCTGCAAAGGATTGCAACTTATTTTAGACGTGGTTGAGGCGGCACTGCCTAATGGAATGCTTGAGGGAATTGCAGAAGATTGCAAGCTACAAGAAATATTTCACAAAGCATTGGAATTGCTCCCTAATCTATGGATTAAGGTAGGTTATTGTCACAGTTGGAGAAGGTAGGCGAGAGGGAGAAGACGAAGGGCGAGAGAAGAGTATCGAAGAAGAATTGGGAGAATTGGGGGAAATGAAGAAACAAGGGTTAGGGATTGAGATTGAATGGGGAAGCAATTACCTGAAAGAGGAGCACGTGAGGCGCACGGGGATTATTAAATCACCAAACCGATTGATCCAGTAGATTCAAATGCTGGGTCCAGGAGATCCAAGTGATACACGGGTGGCCCAATAAAGCCCAAGTCCTGTGGAGATAACATAATTGGTTAGCAAGGACAGGCCAACTGGCATAACAGATTCTCTATTTGCTTGTATGTAAATAAAACAACAATGTAATGGAAAAAGGGGTTATGAAATGAATGATGAACTTTCCTTTTCTCTAAATTCTCTCTTCTTCTATCCTCTCTATTCTCGTAATCTTCTCTATTTCTCTTCAATCCATAACAAATTGGTATCGAGAGCCTGAATTTTCCTGGCCATTGAAGTTGTAATGCCAAAGAAAAACCAGACAATGACTGAATCATCAGATTTTGCAGCACTACAGAAACAATTGGAGGAATTGACTACTTTGGTTAAGCAGTCTCAAGATGAAACTAAGATTCCTAAGTGGTGGGAAAATCAAGAGGAGCGTATCACTGCCTTGGAGTCTAGAATGGCTACAAATCAAGGATACGTGGAAGAGCTTTTGAGGATTTTGACTGGTCGAAAAAGAGATCAAAATCAGCCTGAGGAGGAACAGGTACAGACCCCTAATTCATATAATATGAGTGGAAAGCAAGCTGTACAGGTTACAGTGATTAATGATAAAAATAGGTTTACTTATAAACCTGATGAGCCTGGAATTTTAAAATCTAAGCCAATGGAGTTGCTTGCTCATATAACTAGTTTTAAAAATGATAATCAAGTGGGGGAGAACAGCGCTGTTAAGAACAATACAATGGGCTTAGATGTGGATGGAAGAGGCACAGGGGGGTCTTTTAATACTTCAGGGAGTATGTTGCACAGACCTAAAATCGAGCTACCTTTTTTTGAAGGTAGTAATCCAAGAGGTTGGATACATAAATGTCTTAAGTACTTTTCACTATGTAATATTGCTGAGGAACAAAGAGTACAAGTAGCTACAATGTACTTAACAGGAAAAACAGAAATTTGGTTTGATGGCTATATTATGCAAAAACACCATGTTACATGGCATGAGTTTGAAGCAGACCTATGTCATAGGTTCTGTAATAAGGCCTTTGCTGATATAGTGGAAGAGTTTACTAAATTAGTTCAGAAAGGGTCTGTGGAAGAGTATCAAGATAGATTTGAAGAATTACAACCTCACATGCTTTTACAGAACCCTACTCTAGGTGAGGAATTCTTTGTCTCTTTGTTTATCAGTGGATTAAGGGATGACATTAAACATAGGGTCAAAGCCCTAGATCCTAAGAAACTGTCTGAAGCATATAGGCAAGCTAAATTGTATGAATTGTCTGTTGAATTTGAAAGTAAAAGATTGAGGCCAGTCTTTAGAAACCCATCCTATACAAATTCCCTACCTAATTCTAAGCCAAATCAGTTACCAATTCCACAAAAGAGTTCAACCACTTTGCAACCAAAACAGAATTTACTGGAGTACAGAAGGCAAAATAATTTGTGCTTTAAGTGTGGTGAGAAATTTGTCCCAGGCCACCAGTGTAAAATTAAACAATTAAACATGATGATTGAAGATGAGATTGTTCTTCCTTCAGATATTGTACCTACTGATTCAGAACAGCCAGTCCTACAGGAAGAAGAGAGCCTAGAAATATCTATGAATGTTATCACTGGGTGTATTGGATATAATACACTAAGAATTCAGGGCAGTATCCAAGGCAAACCATTGAACATTCTAATTGACAGTGGCAGTACTCACAGTTTTCTAACACCACAGTGGGGTGAAGCTGGTATACAGGTGAATACACCTTACCCTTTAGCTATTACAGTGGCTAATGGACAACAACTTTATAGTTCAGCAAGGTGCAATAAGGTTGAATGGCAAATGCAAGGGCACTCTTTTGTTCATGATTTCAGACTTTTACAATTGGGAGGAAGTGATATGGTATTGGGAGTAGATTGGATGAAACTATTTAGTCCAATCTTGATGGACTTCAATAAAATGACTCTTAGTTTTGTTCATCAGGATGAACAAATTGTTATACATTGTCAGCAACCATCTCAATTTTTGCAGCAAATTTCAGGGGCTTCTTTATTGAAAATGACAGCTTCAGACTCTGTTATTTTGGGACATGTGGTGTTATTATCTATGACAGAAGGTTCTAACCCTATTCCTACAGCTATTCGGCCTCTCTTAGAAAAATACAAGACTATTTTTGAGGAACCAAAAGGCCTTCCACCAAAAAGAAATCACGACCATGGTATTCCTCTTAAGCCAGATTCAATTCCTGTTAATCTAAGGCCCTACAGATTTCCACATAATCAGAAGGCAGAGGTTGAAAGGCAAATTGCTACTATGTTGTCTTCCTCTATTATTCAGCCTAGTAGGAGTCCATTTGCATATCCCTGCCTATTAATTAAGAAGAAAGATGGATCTTGGAGGTTCTGTGTGGATTATAGACAACTCAACAGCATGACTATTAAGGATAAATTTCCTATTCCTGTGGTGGAGGATTTATTAGATGAGTTACATGGTGTTGTTTATTTTTCAAAGATTGACCTCAGATCAGGGTATTGGCAAATCAGAATTAAAAGGGCAGACATACACAAAACTGCATTCAGAACTCATCAAGGCCACTATGAATTTAAGGTAATGCCTTTTGGCTTTACTAATGCCCCTGCTACTTTTCAGACATTAATGAATGAATTATTTAGTTCATTCCTTAGAAAATTTGTGTTGGTGTTTTTTGATGACATTTTAGTCTACAGTAGTTCTATGGCAGCTCATATTGCTCATTTACAGAAAGTTTTAGAGGTGTTACAGGCTAATCAATTATTTGCAAAGTTCTCCAAATGTTTTTTTGGACAAAACCAAGTGGAATACTTTGGACATATTATTTCAGCTGCAGGAGTTGCTATTGATCCTAGTAAAGTGGAAGCAATGAAGAATTGGCCTCTTCCTAAATCCTTAAAATCTTTGAGGGGATTTTTAGGATTAACAGGCTATTACAGGAGATTTATTAAAGACTACGGTGCTATCAGCAAGCCACTGACACAGATGCTTAAAACAGACAACTTTCAATGGACTAGTGCAGCTGTAACTGCCTTTGAAGAACTTAAAAGAGCTATGAGTAGTGCTCCAGTTTTAGCTCTCCCAGATTTTTCCAAGAATTTTTGCTTGGAAACAGATGCAAGCTCAGGTGGTATAGGTGTTGTCTTATCTCAAAATGGCAGACCTATTGCTTATTTAAGCAAGGCTCTTAGTCCTAGAAATTCTAGCCTTTCTATTTATGAAAGAGAGTATCTAGCTATCCTACTGGTAGTTTTTAAATGGAGACATTACTTAGAGGGAAATCCTTTTGTCATTAAAACTGACCATGAACCTCTAAAGTATCTCTTGGAACAGAAGTTGACTACTACAATTCAAAAGAAATGCCTGACTAAGCTTTTGGGTTTGGATTATACTATTCAGTATAGAAAGGGAAAATCCAATGTTGTGGCAGATGCCTTATCTAGGCAATGGGAGGATCAGGGTCAGTGTTTTGCTATGGGTACAACTGTAATTATTCCTAACTGGGTTCAAGATGTGGAGGCTAGTTATAAAGAAGATCTATTGGCTGCTGATTGGATTTCTAAATTAACTGTGAATCCTACTGTTGATATTAATTGGAGATTTTCAAAGGGCATCCTTAGATTTAAGAGTTTATATTGGAACTGCTGGAACCTTAAGACTACAGATTCTTCAGACGTTACATGATTCACCTTATGGAGGTCATTCTGGAAGTCAAGCCACTTATCAAAGAATTAGATCATATTTTTATTGGCCTAAACTTAAGGCTATGGTGGCAACCTATGTCACAGCTTGTGCAGTTTGTCAACAAACTAAGGTGGAGCATGTTTCTAAACCAGGACTGCTACAGCCACTACCTATTCCTCAACAGGCTTGGGAGGTCATCACTATGGATTTTATAGAAGGGCTGCCTACATCATTGAAGAAAAATTGTATTTTAGTAGTGGTTGATAAGTTTACTAAGTATAGTCATTTTTGGCTCTGTCACATCCTTACTCAGCAGCTGAGGTGGCTAGATTATATTTGGATCATATTTATAAGCTTCATGGACAGCCTAAATTGGCCATTTCAGACAGAGATAAGACTTTCACTAGTCTCTTTTGGAGAGAACTGATGAAACTCTTAGGAACTAAGACTCTATTTAGCACTGCCTACCATCCTGAAACTGATGGACAGACAGAGAAGGTAAATCAATGCTTAGAACAGTACCTAAGGGGTCTTTGTTTTTATCAACCCAAGCAATGGGCTAAATGGTTGCCACATGCTGAGTGGTGGTACAATACCACCTACCACACTGCCTTAAAGTTAACACCTTTTCAGGCTCTCTATGGCTACAAGGCTCCTACAATGCTTTGGCATACAGAGACTAATGTACATGCAGTAGCAGAATTAATGCGTAGCAGGGAAGAAATCAAACAATTGGTCAAAGTCCAGTTAGAGCAAGCCAGTAATAGAATGAAACAGAAAGCAGACAAAAACAGGTCAGAACGAGTTTTTCAAGTTGGAGATTTAGTTTACTTGAAGTTGCAACCGTATCGACAATCTTCTCTTGCCCTGCGAAAACATTTAAAATTGGCAGCAAGGTGTTATGGTCCTTATAAAATTATTTATAAAATTGGAGAAGTAGCCTATAAATTGGACTTACCAGATACCTCGCGTTTGCACCCAGTCTTTCATGTTAGCTTATTGAAGAAGCATGTTGGAGACATAGCAACAACTTCAGCTGATCCTCCTGATATTGATGCTGAAGGTCAGTTCAAAATCGAACCTAGTAGAATATTGGGCAGAAGGATTATTAATAGACAGAATAAACCAGTTACACAGTTATTGGTTCGTTGGACTAACCTGGACGAGACGCACGACTCATGGGGCGGGTATTGTCACAGTTGGAGAAGGTAGGCGAGAGGGAGAAGACGAAGGGCGAGAAAAGAGTATCGAAGAAGAATTGAGAGAATTGGGGGAAATGAAGAAACAAGGGTTAGGGATTAAGATTGAATGGGGAAGTAATTACCTGAAAGAGGAGCACGTGAGGCACACGGGGATTATTAAATCACCAAACCGGTTGATCCAGCAGATTCAGATGCTGGGTCCAGGAGATCCAAGTGATACACGGGTGGCCCAGTAAAGCCCAAGTCCTGTGGAGATAACAGAATTGGTTAGCAAGGACAGGCCAGCTGGCATAACAGATTATCTATTTGCTTGTATGTAAATAAAACAGCAATGTAATGGAAAAAGGGGTTATGAAATGAATGATGAACTTTCCTTTCCTCTAAATTCTCTCTTCTTCTATCCTCTCTATTCTCGTAATCTTCTCTATTTCTCTTCAATCCATAACAGTTATCTCGATGAAGCTATAACTGCGTATCGTCGGGCTTTAGTCAAGCCATGGAATTTGGATCCCCAGAGGTTAGCAAGCGTACAAAAAGATTTGGGCTTTAGTCAAACCGTGGAATTTGGTGTTGAAACAACCCTCCCACCTCACTTATCTGTATGGGGCTCAACTACACCGAATAGTAATACAGAGGAAGCAATTCTTATCCTTCTAACATTTATGCAAAAAGTGGTATTTGGAGAAATAAAGTGGGATGCAGAAATTATGGATCATCTCGCTTTTGCTCTCTCAGTTACTGAGCAGTTTGAATTACTAGCAGAACATGGGGAGCAGGCCCCTCCGGGCATATATGAAAGAGCTGAGAGGTGGTATTTTCTTGCTCTTTGTTATGCTGCTGCTGGCCAGAATGAGGTGGCATTGATGATTGAACTTGTTAAAGAAAGTTTCTGGCCTGTCCGAAGCAAAGCACGAACCTCATATCCTTGCTTTATTGTTTGGTGCTTATATATCTTCTCAAGATGCAAAGCATGCTCATCATGGAATAACTTTTGCTCGTAATGTGATCAAATTGACAGATGAAGTGAATGGACAAGTCACGGTTCAAGCCCATAAGTTCCTTGGCATTTGCTATGGGAATGCCGCTAGAAGTTCCATATCAGATTCTGAAAGAACTCTCTTCGAGAAAGAATCCTTGACCTCTCTTAACTATGCTTCTCTCAGCATGAAGGAAGACCCAGAAGTGATGCTTGACCTCAGTTTGGAAAATGTAGCCTTCGACAATGCAATGAAGTATTCTAGCATGGTGGCTGAAAACTCGGGAAGAGGATGGAAGTTATTAGCATTGATACTTTCTGCTGACAGGCGGTCCAAAGATGCTGAAACAATACTTGAGTTTGCTTTAGATGAAGCCAGTAGGATGGATCGGTTAGAACTTCTTAGTTTGAAAGCTGTACTTCAGATTGCTCGGGAACAGCCCAAGCAATCAATTGAAACTTACCAAACCTTGCTGTCTCTGGTTCAAGCACAAAGAGAAGCACAGTCTAATAAATAACTCTAATAGTTCTGATACAGAGGTACGAGTTCTTTGGCCTCAAACAGTAGCATGCCTATGTTCATGCGTTTGCAGATTATGCTTGTAATTAACTTAAAATACTGGCTAGTTTGACACTGTTGTTCTGTGATCTTTTCTCTTTAAACAAGAGTAAGAGAAAAACCTACCTAAGGGTGAAAGCAAAACGTTTTCCACCATTGTTCTGATGTCTTCTGCAGACTGCAGCTGAAAGAAATATGGAAATGGCTGCCTGGCAAGATCTAGCTACAATTTATACCAAATTTGGTTCGTAGCCTGATGCAGAAATATGTTTAGACAAAGCTAAGTCAATTGAACTTTATTCACCCAAAAGTTGGCTTACAACAGGTACAAATCCATCTATCACTGCATGTTTGTTTATGCGGTTCCTTTTTAATTTCAAAGGTGTTTGTTTTGCAGGTTTGTTATTTGAAGCCCAATCACTTTATAAAGAGGCCCTGGTATCATTCTCAGTCTCACTGTCAATGGAACCAGATTACGTACCCAGCATTGTTTCAACAGCTGCATTACTCAGGCAATCTGGTGGTCAATCAGTTCCAATCGCAAGAAGCTTCCTAATGAATGCTCTTCGATTAGATCCTACAAATCATGATGCATGGATGAACCTTGGATTGATTGCAAAAATGGATGGTTCGTTGCGACTAGCAGCGGACTTTTTTCAAGCAGCCTATGAGTTGAGGCTATCAGCTCCTGTTGAAGCTTTCACATGATGGTGGAATTTGATTAGTTAGCCATGATGGGATTTTGACTAGTTTTTATCAAAATGTATAGCAGCCTCTTAATTTTTAGCTTCAGCTTTTTTCTGATCAATACCGAAATTCTTATTAAGTCACAGGTTTCTCTCCATTACGAAATTCTTTTTATTTCATAGAAGCTGAATCCAGGCCACAAATAAAAGTCTACAGGGGCAGAAAATTACCGGGGAGGGAATGGAATCTGTAAAGGTAATCAAGAAGTTAGATACGTTGAGGTTGATATATTGAACAAAGCAAACATGTAAAATTACAGTTTCAACTTCTTGTTGGATTTATCATCCATTACAACTGAAGATAGAGAACAAAGAATGGACAGCTGGTGCATTTTTACTGTATCACTTATTTGACAAGAGGAGCTCACAACTTGGAAACTACGGTAGCATTAAATTTTATTTCTGCACGACAGAAAACAGTAAGTTTAGAAGGAGCAAAATCAAGTGAAGAAACCTTAGAGACATCAGAAAACATGAGTTTATGATGGAAATGATGTGTTAAAATTCTCAATGGTATTGTGCATGATACTACCAATGTGGAAATTAGGATGTAAACCTGATTTAAGAAAAAACACAGAAAATAATTAACGATAATCTATCAACAAAATTGTTAATTGAATAAACATATAGAAATATATACCCATATATACATGAGCAAATTAGGCTGAATATAGACAGCAAAACTTCGACTTCAACCCATCTGCCACTGCAAAACGTAATAACCAATCTACAGATGCGTAAAATTTGTGTATTTTTTGCTTAACTATAAATATAATGGAAACTGAACCCCAAAGGAAAGGAAATTATTTATCAGTGTGCAAGAGCGAAAGGCAGCACGGCATGAGATTGGAGGACAAGGGCATCATTACGGGAAACACAGTGCCTTGATAAGATGGAGAAAAACTCTCATATCTTCCCCACTTTATGAGGCAGATTTTATTTTCATAACCATAAAACTTGAGAAGCCAATGTCATTGAAGCTAATTTAGCATATTAGTAACAAAAACCTTCAAAACAGGTTCGCCATTATTAGAGTTTGCTGACTGCTTTGCAGCCGCTTGCATCTGTGCACGTGCAGCTCTTCCTGCAGCTGACTGTTCAAATTGCTCTTGCCTGCAATTTTGATCAATGGTTTCAATTTAAAATAAAATAAAATAAACTGTTAGAAAGCTCAACTTGGCCTGCTTCTCTACTTGACATCAAACCAGAGGAAAATTCGTCTTTCACAACTAAAAAGAACAATAGACTAAATATAATTATATCGCTGCTAGCAATTTATGTAACAATTTCAATAAGGATATCAAATCGGACTTATTTTACAATGTTTAAATCTTCCATAACATAGTAGCAAATCCTAATTTTCAGCATTGAACTCCTCTTTTTCTGATCAAAACGCAATAACCGTAAACAATTTTTTTTAAAAAAACGGATCAATCTTACATCGATCGCCCAAGATAACGAACATTTGAGAATTATCCAAAAAAATGCAAGAGACTCATATTTTTCATATGGTAATAGTATAATAGAAGCAACCGAATATGAGATAACAGAAAGGCGAATTGTAGAAGGGATTGAAAAATTAAATATAAGAGGGGACTAAGATACCTTTTCTGAGCAGCCTCAGCAGCTTTGGCACGAGCTTCGGCAGAGGCCAATCTTTCTTCCTCCTTTCGCTGTTCTTTGTTTCCTCCATCGAAGCAAGAGAAACACCCCATTTTTTTCTCCGTTCTCCTTTGAGATTTGATTTTCCTTACCCGTTCTTTTATAGATTGCGGATGAGTTTACTTATTTATTCCCTTTTTAAACCAATTGAACGCCGCCACGTCATAAATAAGAAACTTTTTGGTCTTTTCGTAGAGGCAGTAGGAGTTTCGTTCGTATCTTCTTAAACGCATTATATGTGTAATGTGTCTACCATCTGCGTCGTAACAAAGCCATTTCCAGCGGCTTGAAGAACTAAACGGCAGCGTTTCTCTTATTTCTTTTCTCTTTTCCCTACCAAGAATCGTATCAGGAATTGCAGAGAATGGTGGAAACTTGACAGGTTATTCGATTAAAATGCGACCGCTAGAGACTCTGTTGCCAACGGAAACCCTAGAAATCGAGAATGCTTTGTCACTAGTACCGCGCGTGAAACTCAATCTCACTTTCCACCCTGCCCTCCCATCGGTGTCGAAACCAATTGATGAATGGCAGCTAAAGCGAGCCCTGATAGATTTCCTCAAGTCCTCGCTTTCCGTCCCCGTTACCGTTCCCGAAGAAGACCTCCAGATAAAAAGGCTCAAAGACCTCAAGAAACGGAAGCGAGACGAGCCGGTTGCCCATGGCGCTCTCTTCATTCGTGACCTTGGGTTTTTGAGTAGTAGGAAGAAGAGTGAAGAGACCGAAGATGACGTGAAGGAATTGGAAAAGAAATTTCTGGATTGGAGAAGCTATGTAGCGGAGAAAATGGATGGGATTGAGCTTAATCTTGAAGGAGTTGAGTATAACCTTGCTGTTGAAATTCCAGTTTCGGACGATTTTGAAACGATGAAGAAAGATTGGGAGGAGTTACACGCTTTTCGAAATAGAGGTTTGCATGCAGTTTTGTCTTGAATTTGAAGTCAAATCGGGATTTTTCTTTTCAACTGGGTTTTTATTTGTAGGTTACTCGAGGGGCGGAAGACACGATCCAGATACGATTGTATTGAGAGGGGTTCCGTCGCGATGGTTGCGGAGCCGAGAGTTTCATCCAAGCCTTCAATGCTGGTCACCCATACCATTTTTTCCACATTTGGGAAGATAAGGTAATTCCTTTCTCTTTTGCCCTTATTTGCTTCATTTTCTTTTGCTATTACTGAATTCTGGTAAATTTTGTTAAGCCTTTGTTGTTGAATGTGTGGGAACTCTGTCGTGATTGGCTAAATTACATAACTGACACAGTTTGCTTTTAATTTTATCTTTCTGACACTGTTTGACCAATATTTTCAGAAGTAGCACCCTTTCTGTTGAGTTGGCAAAGGCGCGTCCCCGGGGACGCGCTTTACCCGTGTTTTTCGCTGAGTTGGATGCCACGTGTGGAAGGCGCGTTCCCGGGGACGCGCCTTTGCCAACTCAGCATACACGTATTTTGTTTTATAATAAATAGTTTATTTTTATTATTATTATAAATTAATAATATATTATGTAAAATGTTTCGATTATAATGTAAGAATTATCAAGTTTCGATTATTTTTGATTTTGATTATCGATCTATTAATTTTATCAGTTAATTATTTAAATGTTATCAATCTAGTCATCTCATATCAATATTTAACGAAAATATTGATGCATAAGTTAATAAATTAGTATAATTACATATTTAATCTTCAAGACTTACATATTTTATAAAATTAGTCTTATTGAAAATTTAATTTAATAAATTTAATCCTCCAATCAGAACATGAAATGTGTCATCGTATACATAAATTTTTTAATAACTTTTAATTTGTTTAATTTAATATTTTTCTCTACTTAGAAGGTGGAATTATTATTATATTTTAAAAAAAATTATAACTAATATTAATTATTATATTAAATAAATATATTAAATATATTTATGTATTTAAAAGTTAAAAAAAATTATTTAGGTGTACATACATTGACAAATTATATAAATGCAATAACATTAAATTATTAGAAACAAAAACATTCATTTAAATACAATATTAATTACATAAGAGTTGACGGTTATATGATGATAACAGAGCTGAACATTTTTTTCTATTGTGCCCGATGTTTCTACAATGGCCACATCGTTTTTGTTCTGTTGACTTCTCCCGAATATCCATATCACAATGTATTCTAGTAGATTTTGGACGACCTGAGTCCCTCAATAGCAATGGATCTGGTACAATTGTAAGCCAAGTTTGAATCTCATTTGGGTCTCTTTCGTTTCCTATGGGCGGAAACTCAAATTCATATACCTTGAATACTTGTGAAAGTTGGTATACAGGATCAACATAATTTTTGTAGTCCAAATGCGAATGTGAGCAAGCAGCAATGACATGAGAGCATGGATATTTGAGTACTTGAAAGAAACCACAATCGCACCACCTCTCTTGCAGATTAACTCTGAAAGAGTTAGCTTCAATCCCTTGCAGCGGACGTGGCATTTCGGTTACACGAAACAATTCACGGGTGCGAGAAAAATTTGTAACTAACATCACATTTGATGCAGCCACTTTTTTCTGTAAATCAACTACTAGTCTTGGGTGGTAAATATGTCCGTTTTGCATCCAAGTAAGAGCTTGTCCACCGAGCTTTGCAAAGAGTTGACCCAAACGAAAATAAGTCGTTTTAACCAACGCCGTGATTGGTAAATGACGCGCCCCCTTTAAGGTTGAATTTATTGCTTCAGCCAAGTTTGTTGTCATATGACCATAGCGATACCCCCCGTCATATGCATTTGTCCACATTTCTTTGATGATGTCCATAATGTACTCGCACCCCTTCTTATTTTTGCCAAACAGCTCTTGTAGCATCGACTCAAACCTTTAAGGTAAGAGTTCGTAACCTAAGCCATTAGGAATATGTAATAGTTAATATGAAGTATAAATAAGTAATAAGTAATAAGAAATTGATAGAAAAATTGAGAAAAAGTAACATACCCATCCGCACGACTAACTGACGTTCATCGTTCTTCTTGTATTTTCCGTAATAGTTTGCAGCAATATGACGGACACAATAACGATGTTGAACATGTGGAGGTCTATACATTGTACCCAAAGAGTCCATTGCTGCTTTTATCCCGGCTCCTCGGTCTGAAATAATGCATAGTTGTTCCCTGGTGACAACATGTAAACGTAAATTTTTAAGGAAAAAAGCCCAAGACTCAGTGTCTTCTCCTTGAACGAGGGCAAACGCAACAGGAAGAATATTGTGGTTTCCATCTTGGACCACAGCCAATAATAAAACTTGCTTGTATTTCTCATACAAGAAAGTACCATCAATTTGGACAATTGGTTTACAGTACTTGACTGCATTAATACACTGAGGGTAAGTCCAAAAGACTCGGTAAAATTGGCAGCGATCGCGAACCATTCGATCATTCACGTAATGATGTTGAGTTTCGAACTCAACAATTGTCCCGGGATTAAGTCTTTGCACAACATGAAACCAACTGGGCAGCTCGTTGTAAGAGGAATCCCATTCGCCATGAAGTTTGCAAATGGCATTCTGTTTTGCCAACCACGCTTTTTTATATGAGAGCTTTGCTTCACAATGGGCATGATTGCTTGACAAATAATATTGGAGTCCAAGTTGGGATGATCCTGGTTTATACCTGTTCCACAACATGTATGAGGACCGTTGTATCTGGTTAGTTCCCATAAGTTGTTCTTCCTCTTCCTCTTTGATACACGGACCATCCATTGACATCCGTTGTGACGTTGGACGCAGTAGCAGACATATTTCTCCGTGTTAGATCGATCAACTCGGGACTGAACTGAGTTACGAATATTGTAACTCTTTATTGCCATCATTGCTTCCTCCTTCGATGCGAACTCCATTCCAATATGTAAATTACCGTCATTGACTGATGATTGAAGTCCATAGTTGCCAACATCAGGAAGATCTGGAAATTCAGGCTCATACATTGCATCATAATCAGCCTCATACATATGTGCAGGAAGTTCGGCTGGTGTTGTATTTATCGGAACGTCATCCTCGTCATCATCAAAATGTACGTTAAACTGTGGTGAGTCAGGTTCAACGAATAATCTCGTTTCAGCACCATCTGCACCTGGCTCCCGAAGAGGTTCTTCTGGTGGAGATGAGGGTTCCTCCGATAATCCAATGTTGAGGTCAAATAAGTTCCCGCTTGCGTGTCCTCCCCTTGAACTTGAGGCCATTGTATCATGTGGGATGTGAATAGACTGTCGTCTCGTTGGCATTTCCATATGTAAGTCGAAAACATTGGCAGATGAATGTCTGCCCCTTGAAGTAGAAGAGATGTTGCCATATGGATTATTGGTGAAGCCACGTGGGTTGAGATCATAAGCAGTTGCAGATGAATGCCTTCCTATTGAACTTGATGGCATGGTATATGGCGTTGGATCCGCCATTAATGATGTGAAATCATTACATATCAATTGTGTCGGGCTATCAACTTGATCAGTTTGATATGCAATGCCAAAGTGAGAGAAATATGAGAGATCACGAGTTGCACGAACCTCAATAAAAGTGGCATACATTTCAATAAGAGATTGTGAACTCCCCATATGAGCATCAACCATCATAGAAACATCATCATCGTTTGAAAGCTGAAATGATGTATACGTGAGCGGAAAAAGTTCAGTAGGAAATCTATACTGAAGTGAAGATAGTCTTCTCTGGCCTGCTACACGAATCTTTAACGAAATTTTTGTGATTAACTCCTCAATTGTGATGTTTCTCTTCAAGGTTAAGGGGATATAATGATCTGACTCAAAAACAACCCCCTCTTCAGCTTCCTTAATTTCTCAATCATACAAAACAACAGCAGAAAGACGACTCATTTTCAGAGAATTTGAGAATTTAGAGTTTGGGAATTTGAGAATTTGAAAGATTGTGAACTGAAGTTTGTTTTGAAAGTTTATAATATGTTGCATATAATAGTGTCTATAATCGGTTCACTATTCACATGAAGGCGCGTTCCCGGGGGCGCACCTTCCATTATTTCGTCAGAGAATATGTTATCATTGCCCTATTATGTCACTCATGTCCCTCGGGGACACTAGATATATCAGTACCTATTATTTCACTATTCACATGAAGGCGCGTTCCCGGGGGCGCGCCTTCCATTATTTCGTCAGAGAATATGTTATCATTGCCCTATTATGTCACTCATGTCCCTCGGGGACACTAGATATATCAGTACCTATTATTTCACTATTCACATGAAGGCGCGTTCCCGGGGGCGCGCCTTCCATTATTTCGTCAGAGAATATGTTATAATTGCCCTATTATGTCACTCATGTCCCTCGGGGACACTAGATATATCAGTACCTATTATTTCACTATTCACATGAAGGTGCGTTCCCGGGGGCGCGCCTTTCATTATTTCGTCAGAGAATATGTTATCATTGCCCTATTATGTCACTCATGTCCCTCGGGGACACTAGATATATCAGTACCTATTATTTCACTATTCACATAAAGGCGCGTTCCCGGGGGCGCGCCTTCCATTATTTCATCAGAGAATATGTTATCATTGCCCTATTATGTCACTCATGTCCCTCGGGGACACTAGATATATCAGTAAATCAGGTAAATTATAACCAAAATTTAACTTCTTTTGAAAGTTCAACAAGTTAAGAATAACTTAAATTAAAACGTTATGTGAAGTTTGAATAAATTAGATAAAATGTTATGGATAAATTGAATAAATGTGAAGTGATAAGTTGATTGTGACATTGAAATTGTATGGAATGAGCATTGAAATGTGACATTGAATAAATTGCCAATTCACCCCCCTCTTGGCTGATTCCGTCGATCGATGAACTCAACATAAGTTGATTTTAATGTATACGTTTTAATATATATGTTAATGATAAAATCATATGTATGGATAAATTTAATTTCAATTTAAGTATTGTGAACTATAATTGGAATATAACTTTTAATTTCGAATACAATTGGAATATTAAGTTGAAATTTAATGTTAAATTTCGAATACTATAATTTATATTTTAAATTTAAATTTGAATAATATTATTTTTATTTTATTTTAAATTTCGAATAATATAATTTGTATTTTAAAAACATTTATCAAACATTTAATGTTAAATGTGAATAAAAAATAACATTAAAAAATATGTATGTAACAACCATGAAACATTTAAATAACATAACCAAATTACATAAAATTCTGAAAT